ATTTTTCTTTATTATATATAGATAAGAGTACAAGAAAAAAGGAAAACCAGTTGATTTTACGATTTTTGTTACCATTTCTGTTTGGATATTATACTGTCATGTTCCGATGAGGAATGTTCATAAACAGATCACTGATCAGAGATGACACATAGATGGGAATTTATCAAAACTGGAGCAGACCTAATCTGGAGCAGTTGCCCAGGTCAACCACTCAGCTCTCTCTTCAGTTTTTTTTCAGTTAAGATTTGATAATGAAAGAGAGAAGCTGACTGGAGCAGACAAAATCTGGAGCAGCTGTGCATGGCAACCAGTTTTGATAAATTCACTTCAGTGTATTTAGTATGGAGTGATTCTGCATGGTAAAGTGTCAGGCCCTAAGATTAAAGGAGAACTATGAGGTGAGTGGTTTTCACTCACCTCATAGTTCTAGCTGACCTGTGACAATGAGACTGTCACAGGTCGGCTCAGTAGATCGAGAGGTGAGCGAACGCCGGTATATGTTCGCTCACCTCTCGATCCTGTCACCTGACCCCATAGTTCTCATTTAACAAACTTCACAGAAGGATGACAATTTACTTTAACATGGATCGGGGTAACTTTACAAGTAGTCATGGATACATTCATGACATATCGCAACATACAGCAACAATATAGTGGTTCAGAAACCTGCTAATTATAAGCATTGAGCACTTGAGCTTAATTCAAGTGACTTTGCTAATTGCTAGTTCACACCAGAATTGGGTGCGCCTGCGCAGCTGCAGTGCAATGCATTTTACAGTGATTGTACTGCGCTTGTGCCGCTTTTTTGAGTGTGCATAAAATGGCATTTCAGTGCATTTGCATGCGCTTTGATGTGTTCCGATGCAGCTAAAATGGGGCAAGCAGTATTTTTTTTTTTCTCGCTGGTTTGGAACAGACTGCACTGGTGTGAACAGAGCACCAGAAATCCCATTGAAAGCATTGTGATTTGTTTTGGATGCAGCTGCCTAACTGAACAGACTGCATCACAACTGCATCTGAACTAGCCCATGGGCTTAGAAGACTTTATAATTTTGTTAGAAGTTAGAAAGGGAGAAGCTGTAGCGGGTGTTGATCTTTGCCAAACATTTGTGAACACGGCCCAGAACTGCACAGGCATCACACATCCTGATCCAGCTTTTCACTAAAGGAAGTAGGAAAGACCAGTGGCATCACAAGGGGGGGGGGGGGGACCTCTCAAAATCGGGTACTCGGTCATGGACAGAGAGCCCAACAGTTGCGGGAGAGAGGAGGGGACCCGGCGGCATACCTTATCTTGCTGGGGTGAAGGTTCCCTCTCTGCCGGCGACCATCACCAAGATGGCCGCGCATGTGCGATGATGTCATGGCGTGTCACCCGGTACACTGCTCTGGGTGACACCCGGCTTCGGGATGCCCCTGGTTAAGACTTGATCCAAGGAAGAATTTAAATGCTGACCCATGAATAATTTTCTTGTAGATTGTGACTAACAGCGGGTTGTGACAGATTATGTGGATTGGAGCGAAATTCACCATATTTATTCCCAGATAATTTTTATACAAGTCATTCTGAATTGAGAAAGCTGGTCGGATGACCAGTGAAACGTCTTCAAGAAAAATACAGCAAGTCCAGTTGCCTTGACTTTAATTTTTTACAGATATACCATGAGCTGGATGAATGAGAACCTTCACAGACCGAATCCATACTCCTTTTTCTGCAGCCCCTGTTATAATTGAACAGGAATCCTCTATGAATGAACAAATGGGGAACACTTAGTATACATTGTGGAGATTAGTATGTTTACCATGTACACAATTATGAATGAACAATTTTGACAACTGACTCCTCCCTCTCGGCTCAGGCTTCTGGGACAGAGCATGTCTGTCTCCGCCCCCACGCTGCTCTCCATCCTGATCAGTCAAAGGAGGCCGAGCGGGGTGGTGCTGGAGGAGAGCCCGGCCTCCTGTGACATGCCGGTTGTTCAGCGCTCTCCTCCCCAGCACCGCTCCACCTCCTACGCTGACAGTTTCTTTCCTCCTCTTTGGATGCTGCGCTGTGTCAGACCGGACACAGAGCAGTGCACAGCGGGGAGGAGAGAAACTAGGGATGCATCGCCATTTTTGGCCAAAAGATGGCACTTTAAGCATTTTGCCAAAAGTGCAATTTTTGGCCGATATTTTTCGGCGCATCCCTTATTGGCATTATTAGTATTATTTTTATTAGTATTTACGGTTGAGTAAAGACACAGGTCCATCGAGTTCTGTGTGTGTCTTTTGTTACTAGGATTACCTGTACCCCTGTATATCTTGTCCACTGAGAAAAGTATCTAGACAGTGGTATCGGATAAGAGTACGGAACTGAATCATTCAAGAACTGTCTGTGGAAGGGAGTTCCACAATTTTACAGCTCTCACAGTAAAGAATCCCCTTCGCTGTTTAACAAGCCGACCTGTGACAGGTCGGCTCAGTAGATCGGGAGGTGAGCGACGATATACCGGCGTTTGCTCACCTCTCGATCCTGTCACGGCTCTCTGCCGTGACAGGGGAGGGGCTGGATTCCCCCCTCCCTGCTCCGATCTGCCAGCACTGACTGGCGGAACGGACGGGGGAGGGGGCGGGTACAGCTAGCTCTGCCTCTAGATAGGCAGAGCCAGCTGTCAGTCACGCAGCTCGGCGGATCCCAGCACAATTGTCGGGATCTGTTTCAGCTGCGGCGTCTCGGTATACTGTGAGCTGTAGCTCGTGGTATACTGAGCTTAGGGTGACGGGAGGACGCTAGTTTGTGTCCTACCGTTACCCTTAGGAGAACTATGGGGAAAAGCCCTAACCCCATAGTTCTCCTTTTAAACAATTTGTACATTAATATCATGTCTCCTCTTTTCAAGAGTGGGCAAGTTTAACGCACGCAGTCTTTCCTGATGATTTAGGTCCTCTAACCCCTTTCAATTAAATGTGTCGCCCTTATCTGGACTCTCTCCAGCTCAGGGACATCCTTTCTGTGGATTGGTGACCAAAACTGAACCGCATACTCAAGATGTGGCCGAACTAGAGTTTTGGAGTAAAGGGGCAGAATTATGGCTTTGTCTTTACAGTACATTCCCTTTTTCATACATGATCTAACCCTGCTCACCTTATTTGCTACTGACTGGCTTTGCATGCTGTTACTTTGGCAACAGTCCACTAAGGCTCCCAAATCCTTTTCTACCTCAGATTCCCCCAGTGAAACACCCATTAATATGTGGCTCGCTTTCGTATTTTTAACTCCCAAAATGCATAACGTTACGCTTCTGAATATTAAACCTCATCTGCCATGTAGATGCCCACCCCCTATTTTATTCAAATCTTCCTGTAATAGTTCTATGCCTTTGTCGAGTTTACTACCCTACAAAGTTCGGTATCGTCAGCAAAAATTTAAATATTGCTATTAATAGCAGTCCCGATATCATTTGATAAACAGGTTGCACAGCAATAGCCCCAAGACAGAACCCTGGGGCACGCCGCTGTCAACCAAGGACCATTTGGAAAATGAGCCATTTATTGACACTCTGGACACATTCACTTAGCCAGTTCTCTATCCAAGTACAAACCGTTTCATCTGTTCCCAAGGAGTAAAGCTTGTAAATTAAACGTTTATGAGCTACCATATCAAATACTTTTGCAAAATCGAGGTATACTACATCCACTGGCTTTCCTCCATCTAGGCTGCCATTTACTTCATATAATGCTAAGAGGTGTATTTATTATTATTATTATTATTATTATTATTATTATTATTATTATTAGTTAGGGTCTTTGGAGAAATATCAGGAGTCTAAACAGATTTTAAAATAGAAAAAAAAAAAAAAGATTGAGGACACAGAGTCCTCAATCTTATTTGCAGCCCCTGTTATGAACAGGCAGCCTCTATACCGAGTGCTCCTGTCCATTCATAAACTGTGGATATAGTATGAGTTGCTATGTCCACAACAATGAATGAACAGGAAATTATGTATAGCACTTCCTGTTAGTAAGCATACTATGTCCTCAGTCATTTAGTGTCCCCAGTTATGAATGAACACTCTGTGATCAGTTCTGATGGCTGAGCACTTGTAACTTGCTCTCCATCCTGACTCCCCTTTTTATTTTTTCCTCCAATTTTTGGTGTTCTTTAAAATAAATTTCATTATTTTAGTTATATTTTTAAAATGACTGTTTGCATTAAACCTTTATTTTCTTTATTTTACTATTACGCATTTAAAGAGTGCACACATGAAACCGAAAAGATTACTGCATGTCTAATGAGAAAGCACAGTTGAAGGTTTTTGCCATTAGGATGCGCTCTCATACTTAACGTATGTACAAAGGGGGGTGTTAGTGGTGGACCACTGTTCATTCAATTAGTTAAAACTAGAATAAACTTTTGCACATTGCCACTTTTTCACTCTTCTCTTTTTTTTTTTCTTTCTTGCTTTTCTCCCTCTCTTGTTCTTCTAGTCATCTAAATTATTAGTGACCTTCAACATAATACCAGTATGTTTGCATGTCTATCTCTGCCTATCCAGAGATTTTGCCAATGAAAAGTATCCTTGGAAGTCAGTGTGAATTTGTTTTGTTTTTGGTAGTGATCAACAAACATACACTTTTTATGTTAATTTAAATCGCTTTGCACAGATTTGTTTTCACTTCAAGGGGGTGTATACTACTAAATGCAGTTATTTCATGCTTTCCCCCCAAACTTAAATGGCATACATCTACACCATCATGGTTCATAGGTTTTTTTTTCAAAGCCACATAATTTGACAAATACACATCTTTTGTGCATAGTCAAGGGGTTTCAAGTAAGTGCTTCACAGATGCATTTATTTATACTGCAATTAAAAAAAAAACACCTTATTTTGAAGCTAAATGTTCTAGAATTTTTTTCCCCCCAGTGTTGCCCATGAGTATCCAATATACAGTATTTAGTTCCACATGTGGTGCTGAATGTCTGGCGATCTCTAACTTCCTGATTCTACATTTTGCAGGCTTCCTGTCTGTGTGGCACAGCACCATGCCTTCTTTGTGGATGTTGCCCATCTACGAAGAATTCAACCATCACACGGCTGACATTTTCCATCTTTTTGCTTCTTGGAACCTTTGTAGCTTGCATTATGCTCATACCTGGGGTGGAAAATGGACTGAAGAAGGTATGTGGTTATGTATTTTAGAAGTTTTTATTTTTTGTATTAATAGTTTTTTGTTTTCTTTTTACAGAAATACTCTAATGTATATAAACCTAGGCAATAAAAAAAAATTGAAATTGATCAGCAATTTACCAGGGAATTAAATCATGTCAGTTAGATTGCATACTTCGCAAAATAAAATCACATCATGCATTGCTAAGATGTAGATTGTACTTGAAAGAAAACTGCAAAACATGCCAAATAAAAAAAAGTTAGTTTACCTCCTATCATTTTAGTGCAGTTTAAAACTGAATGCAAATGTCTGGGTGTTATGGCCAATATTACAATACAATATATCCTTTGCTGTTGTTTTAGACCTGATCCAGAACATACTGGGAGATCATGTTTACTTTGTACTTTTAGCTCACACAGACTATCCTAATGCAGAGAACTAGGCAATGATGGTGATATATAGAGTGAACACCAAAGAACAATGGGGGGAATTTATCACAACTGGAGCAGACAATCTGGAGCTCAGTGTCAGATCAGTGTCTCCAATTTGTTCAGTTAAGATTTGAAAATGAACAGAAGCTGATTGGTTGCCACGCACAGCTGCACCAGATTTTATCTGCTCCAGTTTTGATAAATTCCCCTCAAGGTGTCGGGTGTGCTGGATGTAAATGGGGGTTTTCATGTAAGAGAGCTCATTTTCTTCTCATTTATTTTTTCCATCCTCAGTTGCCTTGGTTCTGCGCCACATCAACTACCTTTGCAGGCACTGTAAATTGTGATATCATCGTTGGCCACCAAGCTGTGTACCGCATGTGTTTTGCTACGGCTGCATTTTTCTTTCTTTTTGTATTAATAATGATATGTGTGCGGAGCAGTCGTGATCCAAGATCATATATACAGAATGGGTAAGTGAGAGCTCCTTAAAGTACTGGTGGAATGTGGAAGTTTTTTGTTTTCTCCTCTGTATCTCTTCAGCTGTAATATATCTGCTGATTTTTTTTTTTTTTTTTTTTTTTTTTTTTTAATGCTGAGGTTTTTGCATTTATAAAAACACCACTTAACGCATGCATATATTTTTGAATGTATTTTTAAAACTTAAATAACAATTTTCTTTTTTCTTTACTATGCATAATCTGTGAACATATCCCAAACAAGAGGTTAAAAAAACCTGCTTTAAAACTAGACCTAATTCACTTCTGTAGCTATAGGGGTTGTGGAGAAAATTCACAAGTAAATCAATACTTCTTTGCCCTACTTTTACATTGCAGCTGACTCTTGGGAGCCTGCCAGTGCTCTATTGTAAACACATAACCGGTTGTTAGAAACTGATTTGAAACATAACATGTCATTTTAGAGGATGATATTTAACCACTTGCTGTCCAGAGCAATTTCTTACCATTTGCGCACACCTGGTAAAATCTGTTGGGGGTTTTTAAGCTGTTTTCTAGCCAGAAATTCAATTTCTATCTTTTCTGAAAGAAGGGGCCCTGTAGAATAAAAGAAATGCTAGTTGCAATTTCTTTTTTGTCCCATGGTGTTACGTCGAGCCTTAAAACTGCATGCGTCCGCAGGACCGGATTTACTCTCCCTTCTGCCTCAAGGCCAGGTTTCGCAATGCGCCCCCCATGGAGAATGCCAACCAGATAGCGGGGTGGCAGGGTTGTTTTGAAATTTTTTTAAAAATTTTAACACTTATTTTTATCCATCTTTTTTTTATTTTTTTAATCTTATTTTTTATTTATAATTTTTTTTATTTTTATGTAATTTTTTTTTCACTTAACTTTATTGCTATCACACAGAAGCTAACATGCCCCTGTGATAGCATTTGGAGGTGACAGGTTCTCTTTATTGACCCTGTCTCCTCCAATACAGGAGTTCTAGCACAACACTGCACTGGAACTCCTGTGACAGGTGAGAGGGGAAAACTGACACCCTTCAGTCTAATTACAAGTGATCTTGGTGACATCGCCAAGATCACTTGTAAAGAAACAAGTGGTTTCCCCATTCTACATTTAGCCCTGCTTGTGCAAAGCAGGGCTAAATGTAGAAAACAAATACTGCATGTTTCGGGCGACTTCAAACCACTGCCGCCCCGAGGCCGGGCCTTCGTGGCCTTGTCGGGAATCCAGCCCTGTGTGTCTGTGAAACCGCAAAAAAACTCCAATACCCAAAATGTCCTATAGGCAATGCTTTAAAAGCTTTCACTGCTCATCAGTTTAGTGTCAACAGTAGCTGTATTGCTCTCACTCTGAGGTACATGGTGATATGTAACGTGTGGCGCAATTTTTGTTCTTGCACCAAGGCCCACCCAACGCGTGTTTGCACTTCTATGTGCGTGTACTTGGGGGTGGGGGACTTCATTTTTTTTGTTCTCAATAACTCCACCTGTCCACACATTTGCTGTAAGCTAGGGAGAAAGGGTAAGCAGAAGTTTAACTCTGTGCTGCTGTTCCTTCATTGTCAGCAGGCTTGGATTGTGTTGACTAAGCTGTGCTGCTGCTTCAGTAGAGGCCAAAAGTCTGGCTATTTGATGTCTGGAAGATGTTATCAGGATCGCAAAACTGGCTGTGTATAATTATAAATTCCATACTGGTTTCCATATACAGTATGCATTTCAACTGTATATAGCGGTTTCAATGGAGTTAGTCTTTGAAGGATGATTTATGAAAAGTAGATCAACCACACACCAATTTTTTTTTTTTTTTAACCCTTTCCGTATGAGTGTGAAAGAAACTAAATGTGCATGTTTGTGTGTCATTTGGTCCTATGTTCATTGTTGCCTTGATATATTAATGTGAATTAATATCACATTTTTTGTTGTAGGTTTTGGTTTTTCAAGTTCCTGATTTTCGTGGGGATCACTGTTGGTGCTTTCTTTATCCCTAATGGAAACTTCACTACTGGTAAGTGTTTTTTTTTTTTTTTTTTTGCTGGATTTTCTTGTACAACTTATGATGGCTCTCTAAATTGACCAATATATCAATTCTTTTTGAAAGTCTTTTGCTAAAAATAAGGGTTTTGATACAACCCATAAAATTGATTTCTTTATAGATACAATTATTTCTTCAACGTGGTTGTTATATCTAATGGTGATTATCATTAAAGCTGAACTCCTAATAAAAACATAATTTACATAAGTTACTTATAAAAACAAACCAATCCTTCCTCCACTGATTCTGGATACTCCCTATAATGGGGATATTCCCATGGTGCGTTTTCTTTTCAGTCCCAGCCCTTTTCTGTCCCCCTAGTCCATTCACATAACTCCTAGGGGAAATGTATTAAAACTGGTGCAGAAGCATCTGGCAACCAATAAGCTTCTCTCTTCGGTTAAGGTTTGAAAATAAAAGGTGGATGCTGATTGCCATGGGTAACTGCTCCAGATTTTGTTTGCTCTAATGTTGATAAATTCCCCTCCTAGTATTTTTACAGAATGACAGTAGCAAAGCAAGGGTCTGTGTAAAGGTGCCCATACACTGTACGATTATTGCAAAGTGTATGAAAGGCGTGCGACCGTTTCTACTGTACGGTCGCACGTCTTCCGTCGAACAAGCAGGCTTGAAAACCCACCGAGAATCCTACGATAGTGGCCTGCTTGTTCGACAACTGCCGAACGGGCCGGTGTGCGCACGCGCACACTGCCTGTTTGCAGTCATCGGAAGCCCGCCCCTCATTGCAGTCATCGCAAGCCCGCCCCTCATGGGGGCGAGCTTGCTATGAACGCAAGTAAGATCTGCCTGTCCAAGATGGGCAGATTGTACGAGCTTTTAATAAGCTTACGACCATTGCAAGACAAAAGTCTTGCGATGGTCGTAAGGTGAATGGGCACCTTTAGGGCACTCCACGCTGCTACTGTGCGGCCCCAATCGGAAGCTGCAACGTCACAACCGTGGCTAGTTGTGCCCAGAATTGATTGTAGATCCAGTAAGAAGGTAGAAAACTATAACTTCTATCAGTAGAGTAGATGTCTTTTTAAAAAACTGAAGATTCCTAGGAGGACACATTATCTTGTATCATGCTGCATGAACGTTAATAAAGATGACATTCTGTAGCAGATTGGTGTGCAGACAACGTATCTTTCAGGGTGTTATTGATCCATCCACTTTGCCCTTCAATAGTTGAAAGATTCCACAAATTATGCCACTGTAAAACATATGGCATATGCACTTTAGCTCCAATTGGCCTCAATGTGGAAATACAAAACAAATGGAAATAAATACCATCCCATAATTTAATCATTTTAACATCTTTTTTTAATTTGTTTAGGAAATCCGTAATCCAATTTTTCATATATTGCATCAGGTGATGCATAATTTTATTTTTTTCCAATTTCATCCAATATTAAAATCATGATAAATATATACATTTTTATTGGTACACATACTAAATTGTATTAGCTCATGCAAATGTTGCATTGAGAAGGTTTTAATACTGGGTACTATGTCCCCCCTCTAGTGGCTCCACATGGTTACAATCTGGTTACAAGGAATTTATGAATATCTTGTGTATTTTACCATCATCATCGCTTATTGGGCACCAACAGCATTCAGAATTTTAGGCATCCAGATAGATAGATATATAATATAATATAATTAATTACACACACACGTTCATATACTTATTTACAAGTTCAGTGTTTTTCATTTTTTACACCAGTTGGCTATCAATGAAATTACTGCCAGCCCTTGCGATATATAAGGCAGGCGCTCTCTATACAGCAGCCAGGCTTGACACTGCCCCAATCGGTGACATTTCTGAGCCGCACACCCAGTCTGTGTAAATCTATTCCTCTCACATCCATTATGGTCTGGGAGTAGAAAGGAAGAAAATGTAATTGGCTCTGTACCTTGTTTTGAGAACTGCCCAATGAACATTGTGTCCACAGTGAACTGTTGATCAGCAGGACTATCTGAACATTCCATCTCCTCTGACCTATGAAATGATATAAGCACTCTATGGACTCTAGTCACTCTCACAGTATAGTGCCATTTTATTATATTCTAAAGACCATTTTCTTAGAATGCAAGTCATTGTGTAAATGGACAAGGGTCCTGTCATTCATCCCCCCCGCCTCTATTCACAAAATGCAGGGGTAGAGCGAACAGCGCGATTCTTTAAATTCAACCTCTTATCCGTGCAATGCTGGAATGTGGGTAGTGTCTGGTATTAATGGAGGGAGGATAGTTACAGTATGCGGCAGCCAGCAGGATATGAGATACAATTATTTTGGCCCACATACCACCAGACATAAAAGTTACCTCTAACTAGTGCAGGTTTAAGTGTATGACATTCTGAACTTCACCCATGAAATTCAACACATTCCATTAACCCTTTATTGAACAAAACAAACCTTACAGTAAATGTGGACCTAGATCTGCATTTATTCCTAATAATAACTCTTGCTTGTAATGTATTCAATTGAAAAATGCATCTCGCTTCTTCTTTTTTTTTTTTCAATATTAGTTCCCCATCACCACTTCTTCGTGGCTTAGGCTGGGTTCACACTTGGGCGTACGGAATTTTGTGCCGTGCGTTTTTACAGCGATTTAGGGTAAAAGAAACGCGCGACAAACACGCGTTTCCGAGGGCTATCTGGATCTATACCAATGGATACGCGTGTAAACACGCCCCCAGTTCCTACGTGCTGAAATACGCCCAGGTGGGAACCATGCCCATAGGCAATCATTGGTTTTCACACCTGGGCGCTGTAAAGCGCCCAGGTGTGAACCAGGCCTTAGGAATATTGAATGTGCTGAATTTCACAAGCGAAGTTCAGAATGTGTTAAAGATCACCCTGCTGTGCCTAACAACAAAGACAAGAAAAAAGATGTAGGAAATGTATGGGTTAAATTCATGTATGGGTCAGATTACTTCTGGTGCTTAAAGATAAATGATAAAATTTGTTTTTTGTTTTTTTAATCACTTTTGGGCTTGAGAAAGAACCATATGCGGTTCGAAACTGTTGCCTTTTTGTATCATTAATGAGGCTGTCTTTGGGCTCTGCCATCCTGTGAGCATAATCACACAGTTGGCACATTGGTCCTTTCTCTCCTAGTGTTGCATTACATGGCACTGCAGGAAATCAATATCAAGACTAAGGTGTATATGCTAGTTTATATATAAAAAAAAATAATAATACATTTATGCATCTTCCCAGAGTTTAGCTTTAAATCTCAGCAAATCTGCATAGTACTTCAGCACAGCTGTTTATAACTAGTGTTTTTAAATATTGGGTCTCTAAAGTACATATAGGTCTCACCTCTAATCTGTTTTTATGGTATCTTCTCATATGAGATTTATTTTTATTAACGATGTTCATCTCTTCCATACAGTGTGGTATTATTTTGGTATGGTTGGTGGCTTCCTGTTCTTCTTGATCCAGCTTATACTCATTATTGATCTTGCCCATTCCTGGAGTCAGTCTTGGCTTCAGCAGGCTGAAGATGGCAATACAAAGTGTTGGTATGCAGGTATGTAGACAGAAGATTGGAATCCGCGAAAATTAACTACGTTTCTTAGTGTAATGAAGATTAGAGAACAAATGGTGCTTCTTAGGAAGTTGCCTATTGAAACTGCTTTTAAAACAATTTTTTTTTTAATGTCCCTAGCTCTTCTGATATGTACTGTGCTGATCTACGCTGGTGCAATTGCCTCCATTGTGTGTCTGTATATTTACTACACTGGATCAGGTGATTGTGTTCACAACAAAGTATTCATCAGTCTCAACCTCATATTCTGCGTCATTGTTTCTGTAGTGTCTATTCTTCCCAAGGTACAGGTAAGAAACTATTCGTAAGAGAAAAATGTATCCAGTTATGATGATTAACCGCTAGAGGACCGGCTGCTTTATACATGCGTCCTCCCATGAACAAATGTGTGAGCGTGGCCACTGCACCCGTGGCTCCTGCTGTTAATAGATAGCAGACAACTGCAGCTATGTACACAGAGCTTATTGACACAGTACACTATCTCTTTGATCGCCTCTGCGGTCCCTGAATGCAGGAAGTGATGTATGTTACATCACTTCCGCATTCAGTGTCACTCCTCGGCAACAGATGCCAGTGAGAAGCTGCTGAAGCAGATCTCTGCGGAGCATAAACAAATTGTCACAAATGAAACAATTTTTTTGCATCGGGTGCTCCTTCGTGCGAAAACTACGATTCCGCCTATTGTGCCACACGTTACATATTGCCGCGAACGTCGAAGTGAGAGCAATAACTTTAGGGCCATTAGTCACTGATGACACTAAACTGAGTGTGGTAGTCTTATAGTAAGAAGGCTGTAAGTGTGTGGGTCCCCATTAATGGCAATCTTTTATACACATTAAAAGATGCTTCAAGAGGGGGCATGTGAAGGAAAAAAGAGTTTAATTAGCATAAGATTAAAAAATCCACAAAATTTAAATAAACTCAAATTCCACTCCTGACATAAAGAGGCTTTTGGCACAAAAAAAAGTTTAACACAGTCAGCCTAAAATAAAAACCAGTATACTCTGAAAATAAATGAAAACCCCAGTACCACCCCTGAAACACAGGTCCATTTAAAAAAAAAATGTTTTTTATATATCATTCACTGCTCCCTGCAGGGATCCCCCTCCCCTCTCCGATCCTCCAGTGCTGAGTGGAGGAACAAACGGGGGAGGGGCAGGCACAGCTGGCTCTGCCCCTCCCCCTTGGATAAACCTGCAGAATTTGCCTCAAAACTATGGTACTGGCACACTTGAATCTCAACCCTAATTGTGAAGCATGTTGTTAATATGTAATATAAACATGTATATTTAAAGCATTCTGTTTGAAAGTTTTTATATTTGTCAGTAATTGGGACTTTTGAGCAAACCCACTTTTTTTTTTTTTTTTTGCAGGAGGCTCAGCCCCATTCAGGATTACTACAAGCATCTGTTATTACATTGTATACAGTATTTATCACTTGGTCTGCAATGGCAAATGTTCCAGGTGAGTAACAGGCAAAAAAAACCCATAGACACAAGGAAACTGCAGAAGCATGGATGTAAAGGAAACTATAAAATGTATATTCTTTGATATGGAGCAAATAACAGGCTCCCTAAATAAGATGAAAAATCCCGTTGTCTTTTTTTTTTTTTCCCTCCTATACAGTGGGATTTCTGAGCATGCATAACATTAAAAATATTTTTTCTCTATTCCAGACAAAATTTGCAATCCTACATTGCTTCCTATTGTGCATAACGGATCCAGTACTGCCAGCACCATCTACGCTCAGTGGTGGGATGCCCCCAGCATTGTGGGACTTGTGATCTTTATTTTGTGTACTCTCTTTATTAGGTGGGTTGACATATATATATTTGGTTGACTATGATGGAAAGAATCATTCTTCTGACTACACTGTATCCCAAGCAGTAGCTGGAAATTAACACCTCCTTGTGCTATGCAGTGGGATCTTTTGTTGCTGTGCTAGTCATGGGGCTGCTATACATTAGTTGTGCATGCAGTTAATATTGATCTGCTTTTCACATTGAATTGTATACAATGGCAAAGCCTTCTTATCACCAAAAAATATTAGCGTTTAGAAATCTATAGGGTAATTTTATTAAAATATAATTTTATGCAACTATTTATAATTTTTTTTCCATTGGTCTAAGGCTCACCATACACATTACAATTTGACCATACAATATGTGCACCATCAAATTTGGCTACAAATTGATGTAACAGTTTTGGTAGCTGTAATTGGGCACTAGAAACCTGTTGGTAGATCTACACAAGATTGTACTAAGAAATTGTACAATCTGATTGTGTTGAGCTTAACGCTAACATTTTGGCTCTGCACTATACTGCATGACCTTGCAATCCTGTCTTCGGTGGATCGCCTTAGAGAAGAGGCTGTGGTACCCGGTTGCATAGCATGGAGGAAGCTTGCAGGAGCAAGGGATGAGGTAAGTAAAAAGTCCCTTTTTTTTTATTTTTTTTATTTTTACTGTCACCCTAGGCATAAATGAGCATTTTACCATTGCAGTACAGATGAAGCCCCAGTACAAGGGACGATATATATATTTTCCTGGAACTTCACTTTAAAGCACGACTCGGCAACCTTTTCCACATATGTCAATTTACAAGCATTACCCAATTGGCATGCTAGTACACAATAACGCACTACTTGTATAGTTTTCAGTTTTTGTGCTTATAGTTGTACTGCTAATTGCAAGATAAGTGGATTCAGATAAGCCCTAATCCCTGCACCTTCACTCAAATCCTGTACCATCAGAAACGCAGAGGCTTTAAATGCATACCTGCTGCAGCTGGCCGTTCCCCTAGAAAGGGAAGAGTGTAGGTGGATGGGCTTGCTGGTTAAAAAAAAAAAAAAAGCCTGCACCTGAGTGTCAGTGTGGCCAGGAAGGTGGATTGGCCGTGGCCAGAGTGGGCAGGCCAGGCTTTGTAAATCAATAATAAACAAAAATAAGAAAAAAGTGGGGACCTACAGTATCAATTAGCTCCATTACATATAAAATAGCAGGAGCAGAAAGACCGTAGAAAACGCTGTGTAAAGATACTCTGGCACAATCACGTGGCTCCGTAAAATCAATGGGTAGTGCTTGTAAAACTCTGATCAGCAAAACTACCGTAGTGTCTCTACCGGATTGTGTCCATAAAGCAATTCCTCTTCAGCTGCTGACATGCACAAACAATATTAATCCATTAGGCGTCATGGTTCCCAAGGAGGTATATCTGCATATTTTCCTTCATAAGTTATTTTTTTTTTTTTTAAATCAATCACTCCCTCCATGGAGACCATTGTAGGTGGTAAATTCCTTTCACTTTTTTTCACCTGGGTTTAGATTTATGAAATTGCCCATAATGACAGATCATTGTTGCTATAACACCTACAAGCCCAATCTCCGCAAGTGCTCATAAATGTGAATGTGCAATTCACTCTTAGTCTTTCCAATATACAGTTTTCTACAAGGGCAACATATAGAATGCAATACTCTTGTGGTGCGACAGTAAAAAACAAAATTCCTTATGTGGAAGAACTAAGAGCCATCCGTATTGCTGATGGCATATGATAGATGGCACACCCACTGCACTTATGCTGGTATGATCTGAGTATGTTTCTCTTAAATGTAAAATCGTATAGAAACGTGGCTCCATCGTCACATGCTAGTGGGCATGTATATCTTTTAACTTTTGTGCACATCAGTGGTAAGAGACAGTTGTGGATCCACAACCGCTGCTACTTGGATGCTTATGGTGAGTATATGCCAATGGCGAGACAATACTTTGGGGAGCTTATTCCAATGAGCTCCATACGGGCAAACTGTTTTCTTAATTGTGCTTTTTTAGTTTCAGATTTCCCATATAGTAACTTTTTTTTTCTCTCTCCCCTTGAAGGGCTCTAAATTTTGTTAAATCAACCTTGTAAATCACAGCTGAATGAGCCTTTAGTTACAGCTTGTGGCAGCAGCCCTTCCTAGTTCCACTGTCCACACAGGCACACATGTCTTCAAATTGCCAGTGTAGTGTCAAAAAGGAAATCTGATTTCAAGCAGTCATATAAGTTATAAATTACAAAGTATCAGAAATATAACTCTTTATTGGTCAAATAGGCAAAACTAATGTATGTATGTATTTTTAATTCAAGCACCTGAGTTTGTCTTGATAGAATCTGCTTGTATTAGAGTTGGCAGGTGGCTGCTTATATAGTGTAAAAAAAAGTTTTATGACAGTTGCACATCATCCTTGTGGTGTTATTACACAGTGGTTCTGCTCTAATTATGTTGCATCTCTTACAGCATCCGTAACTCCAGCAACCAGCAAGTGAACAAGATGATGTTAACGGAAGAGAGTTCTGGGGATGGGGGAGTTCACACCACTGAAGATGGGGCTCATAGAGCCTATGATAATGAAGAGGAGGGAGTCTGCTATAGCTACAGCTTTTTCCATTTTTGTCTTTTCCTTGCCTCACTCTACATTATGATGACACTCACAAACTGGTATTTGTAAGTACAAGCCTTAGCTTATTCAATATGCTTAAGTACTGGAACAATACAGGGGAGTTTTCCATGTCCATTAAAGCAGACCATCCATGAAAGTGGAACATCCTCTTTACTAACAGCCCCGGAAATACAAATTATACTAAAAACTAAACTTTTACCAAAAAAAAAAAAAAATCCGGTTTCTGGTACGTGTGGGTGAAAAATTATTTATTTGCCCTAAATTCAAGCTATTTGTATTTTGGGGCTGGAGGGTTGGCAGTTTTCATAAAAGGTTTGCTTTAACCACAATATACTGTATAGCTCTGGATGTATAGCAATACACACTTGCTACAATTCCAATAAATGTGTGGCATGGTGTGCACAACAGCTAACATTGATTCCTGTGCCAATTATGTAGTGCACATTATTACATTATGATGAATGTCTCACTGGAACAAGGCAAACTCAGAAGTGACTACTTGACACTGCACAGCTGCCAAGGGCATCTTTGTAGAATTTTCTTCTGCTGCCAAGGTTTTCCTCATTTGGCCATAGATTGGACCGTAATGATGTCACATCATTGCTGTGGTACAGCAAGCAGTGTAGGGGGGGGAAGTAAAGTTGTTGTTTTTTTGGCAAGAGTAGGCACAGTTCTCTGGTACCAGATATTAATATTTGGGATGGCCAGATACCAAGAAAGTACTGATAATTTTCCAGCTCCAAGACTAGACCAAGTACAAACAAGACCAAGTACTGATACTTGTCCAAGAACTCACAGATAACAATTACTGATACATTTTTGTTAATTTTCATTTGACCGTTTTCTTAAATCACTACAAACTAATGATTTTAGGTACACTGATGGAGCACCAGGGCAAAGTCACAGCTGCAACCCTGGTGGTTTGCGTGAAAATGCCAAGTATCGGCATTGGTATCTGTACATTCCTAATCAATATATTTTATAATGAATACATGCAGTCATGCACAAAGCAGAACTACACCTTGAAAAAAAAAAATACTAGACATACACTGTCTTCATTGTAGGTTTATGTATTTACTGTTCCTAACAGTAAATAAACATGTATTTCCACTACAGAATCAATTTGAATTTTATAGTATGTGTATGTAATTGCATCCTAATATACTTGGAAATATTTGTATTCCACTTATAACTTTGAAGGATTAAGTGAAGACACCATTTAAAATAAGGATAAGTGAATGACCGTATGTGCTTATACCACATCTTTGTTTGAATTGCAAGTCTCTTGTGCAAACACGTTTGTGTCCTTGTATCCAACAAATGATGATCAGCACTGCAAAGGGGGATCATACTTGGCTGTTGGGTAGTTGGGTATATCTGCACATTTCATGGGCCTAACTCTAACGCGACACTAAACTTAATAGGCGTTACATCTTAGCAAATACTTTCAAGTACCCTAACAAAAATGTAGCTTAGTTGTGTAACACTCAGCTGTAGATCTTCAAATCATCTCCCAATCAGTGGCGGATCCAGGGGGGGGGCAACGGGGCAATTTCCCCCTCCGAGATAAAATAGAGCACATCACCACTGTAAGTCCCTTTTCTTACACCACTGACCTCCGCACTGCGTCACACTACTGACCTCCGCGCCTTGGGTCACCTTACTGACTTGCGTCACCTTACTGACCTGGCCAGGTAAAAATATCATTGTTGACACATATTTAGGTTAACATCCTTACGCTGACAATTGCACTGGGGTCTGTAAAGTCTGTCATTTGGAAAACCAGGAACCAACTTGGGTATAAAAAAAAAAAGTGGACAACCAGAACCCTGTGCTAAAATATTGTGGATTTTTTTTTGTTTGTCTTTTTTCTTAACCACTCTTATTTCACACAATGATATAGCCCTTACCATATTGCTGATTTGTTCTAATTATTGTAAATTTTCAACAGGCCAGGATCCTCTGACTTTTCGGTGACCAGCCCCTGGTCTGCAGTGTGGGTGAAGATTTCCTCCAGCTGGGTTGGACTCCTTCTTTATTTGTGGACATTAGTTGCCCCCCTGATTCTCCACGACAGAGAGTTTAGCTAATCTGGCAAAATGGCTAGTGCTTCACATGTACCTGTTATGCTTTTGTCCTAATGTGTACTGGACAAATAAGGAAAATAGTCAAGTTTGGGGAAACTAATACATAGGCAGCATTTTTATGTAAAATTGAATATTTACACCAGCACACTAGCTGTGCAAGATATATATTGCATACTGCTGATTTTCCATTTGGGCCTCTGCAAAAATCTGATTATTTATGGAGATATGAGTTTTATTAGCCCTCATATATAACAACTATGGGGCTATGATATTTGATTCCTTTAAGTTCAAAATCCAGTAGTAAGGAATTTTATGTAATTTATGAAAAAAATTCAAATTGGCAAATATTACTCTTGTAACAGGGCTTCCATGGATGCAATTCTCTTGCTAATGTGATTTTAAAGCACATGTTACATTGTCTTTAAAATGATACTAAACTCAGGAGTTAAATCTTGAAAATGCATTCAAGTACCTTGACTATTAACAAAAATGTGCATCACTTGGTTGTAGATCCTCAAATCATCTCTGAATTGGTGCTGACACTGTCCTTCCTTCTGAAGGGTGGATACTTTTGTTCCCCATGGTCCCCGTTTGTGTTGTAAAGTAGCCACCACTCCAAGCTTCCTCCTCATGATAGATTACACTCTCACATTTTAGTTAACTAATTTGTATTCCAATTGTAGTCCATCAGAGGAGCAAACTTGGAGCAGTGACTACTTTCCAACACACACAGGGGACCAAGGGGAACAAAAATGGTCACCCTCCAGAAGGAAGGACAGTGTCAGCTGTAGATCCTCAAATCCTCTCAATGTATACTGATTGATGCACAAGCTACATTTTTGTTAATAGGAGTTAAATCTTAAAAATGCATTCAAGAAGCCTGCGTTTAGTGGCACTTTAATAACAGAAAAGTGATTGTTTATTAAGGATTGTAAGCTGTAGCAGAAAAAAAAAAAAAAACCTGTGCTATCACCCTAAAATGGGTGGGTAGAGAATTGTGTAAGTAACAAACATGCTGCAAACTAAGCCTAAGCTATGATTAGTAAGAACAAGTACTTGTGTTACTCATAGCAACCACACAGTTTACCGGTTCATGAAAGGGAGAAGCTAAAAGGGAATCTGGTTGCAGTTCCTTTTAAAGACCCTAGCCTAATGGCACACAGACTCATGGCAAGATCTAAATCATACAAAATCCTGTACTGCTTTAAGAGAAAAGACTAAAAACAAATCACCATAACAGCCTTACAGGATTCAAGTTCCTGCTTTTCGCCTTTTATTTTTATTTTTTACAATACATTTTATATATTGTTGTATATTATTAATGTCTGTTACACTAGAAATAAACTGTTTTAGTAACAATGTTTGTCCTTACTATACAGCTTTGCTTAAATATAATGTGCATTGGTAAATACATTTACTATGGGATATGTGGAAGTCCTTGATATTTTGAAGGTGTTAACATTCAGTCAGATGTTTCAGTTATTACGAGGAATCTATTTTTGTTTATTACTAGCAAGCAAGGTACAATGCTTTTGTTGCTTCTAAACAGAAAAAATTATCATAATTGCAAATGAATAGTAGCAGATACCTTTCCCACATGTTCTGCACAGATCAAGACATTTGGGTATTTGTGTTCATCCAGTGTAGATTGCAACAAAGAGATAAAGGTACAAAGAAGCTACATTTTTCAGTGACCCTAAACTTAGGAGTGAAATCGTAAACTGTGTCATATACATTGTTAGTAGGGTACTTGAATGCATTTTTATCGCTATGCTGTAAATCCTCAAATCCTCTCTGAATTGGTGCTGACACTGTCTTAGCTTCTGGAGGGTGGCTACTTTTGTTCTCCATGGTCCCTGTGTGTGTTGTAAAGTAGCCACTGCTCCAAGCATGCGCCTGTGATGGACTACAATATTGGGGGAACAATGCAAAAATAGCAGTCGCTACTATGTTGGTGGGTTCCCTCCACACCATTGAGACTGCAAAAGGCATGGACTTTTTTTCTTTTCTTCTTGTTTAGCCAATGACGCAGATAAGTTGCACATATAATGCAACAATGTTGGGCAATGATACGTTCACAAGCCCCCAGGTGTAAATGTATGATGCATAGATCTGACCAAGACAAATCTACCTTGCAATAAAAACAAATTACAGTTGGGTAGTAATCTTTAGGCTCAAAGTAAAGATCAATTTATACACTTCCGTGGTACCATTTTCATTGTTCTACCGTACTTTGTCGAAGTTACAAGGCATCATGATCATCAGACACCTCCCTTGTAGGCAAATATAGTCGCCTGTGTATAAATCTTTATTGTGAAATATCATGAAAACTTTAGCCAACCAACCAGCACCTTTATCACCTGTTTTCTAATTCATCTAATCAAAATATGTAAGAAATGACACATTTTATCTCGGTCAATAATATCCCAGTGATAAGACCAGTAATTAGATATGAATTGATTGAAACAACCTAAAAAGATGACATTCTTTAAAGCGGAAATGCAACTCTAAAATGAAATAAGAAACTATATTGGCTGTAATGTCATTGCACATATTACCTTTTAGCCATGTATTCAGGATGGAATTGAAGTCCAAAGAGATTTCTGATTGGATCTCATCCCAAATCGTCTCTCCCTAACATTTTAGTGTAGACATCTAGTTTTAGTCAATCAAATGTCAATATATTTTCGTTCTAGTTTGTCCTAACCAAGTTTTTTTAGTTTGTCACTGAAAAAGTGTTTTGCCGAAAACTGACAAATTATTAGTTGTCGACATTACCAATCAGGTAATGGAAAAGATTTCCCTTCCGTGAAGTTGAGGAAAGGTACTTGATGCTGCTTTATCTCGGGTATCTTAGGTCCTCTGTGAGAATTCTGATAATCTTAAGGAACAGATGGACTCTAAGACTTTGTTGCCCAGGGCATGGAAAGCTAATTCTTCCTCTATGGATCCTGCTTTAGCAGTGACTTGTGTGGCTAGGCCAGGGGTAGGCAACCTTGGCTCTCCGGCTGTGCTGAAACTACAAATCCCATCATGCGTCTGCCTCTGGGAGTCATGCCTGTGGTCTGCGATGCCTTATGGGATTTCTAGTTTCAGCACAGCTGGAGAGCCAAGGATGCCTACCCCTGGGCTAGGCAAATGGACCTCCGGTTAAAGAGTTTGTCAACATTTACCTCAGGGAGCTCCTACAGAACAGGTTTTGGACTCTTTTCTGTGGTTGGTAAAGCTACATTCGTATTTGGCAGATGCTGCAGCTGAGTCTGTTAGAGCCTCCACTAGATCAACAGCCCTTCTGAATTCTGCCAGGCGGGCCATTTGGTTAAAGTCCTGGGAAGGGGATATAACCTCTAAATCCAAGCGCTGTGCTTTACCATTTGAGGAGAAGTTGCTTTTTTGGTTCTGGTCTAGAGGTCTCAGGCAGATCTTCAGAGAAAAGAAAGAAGTTTCCTGAGTAAAGAAAGGGCAAGTAATCGCAGGTTTTTTCGTGACTCGCAAGAGCAGTAAAGTCCAGGCGGTAAGCCTCAAGAGCAGAGGGAGAAATGGCCTTTTAGGGACATTTCACAGGACATTATTTCACAATGATTTTGTGATGACCCTAAGAATCCTGGGGAAGAATGTTTCCATTCTTTGGATGTCGGAAAAGATGTTCCTGGAGGTTACCAAGAGTTTCAGAAAATCCAGTAATTTATTTGTGCTATTTATTGCGCAAAAAAGGGTTGTCTGGCTTCAAGGGCCCCAATATCTCGTTGGATTAAGCAAATTATTTCCTTAATTTGCAAAGGGGTAGGATTGAGTGTACAGGCATCCTTGAAGGCACAGCCTACCAGGACTTTAGCAACTTCTTTGGCAGAGAAAGGGGTCTTGTTGAAAACCGTGGTCCTGCCCTGTAGGCTTGGTTTTTGTTTTTTCCCTGGTTGTTGTCCTGGAAGACAATTGGGGAAATCCCCCAGCTAGACTTGCTGGTAGTGGTGTTTCAAAAAATATTCCAGTGCTGCAAGCCTGAAATAGCCAGCCTGCTATTGCAATTTTAAAATGGTTAATAGAAGAAAAGGTATTTCTCCTGCAGAGGCGCAGACCAGAGAAAGTTCTCTCTCAGGTCCACACCTCTGTGACTGATATCAGGCAGTGGGCGGGTGCATTAGCCAGCCTGCTATTGGCTATTTTAATTTTAATTTTAAATAGCCAATAGTAGAAATGTGCACCGGCAAAAATATTTGTTTCGGATTTTCTCTTATTTCGTTTTTCGGGATTCGGGTCAGAAATTGAATTCGTTTTAGGATTCGGATGAAGTTAGCGGGAGCCTGTACGAATATTCGTCTTGGATGACGTTTCGTTGCAACAAAGTGACGTTAGACAAAACGAGAAAAAAAAGATGTTTTTTTTTTTGCAAAAGATAAAAAAGTGTTCTCTGCAAATTGATAGCAGACCC